TAGGCATCTTTGAAGAGGGTCACCTTTGCCCAAGGATCTAGGTGCACCAAAGGAAAGAGAGAGACGTTAGGATGGGTGAAGAATTTTGGGCGTGAAGATAGGGTGAAGGTTTAGGCGTGAAAAGGTGGAAGCTCTCAAGGTAGGTTGGCTCACTCCAAGGTGAAGATGGAGGCCACTCTAGGTTTCCTACTCTTCATGGGTGGAGATAGGAGAAGGCTAGCCAAAGTTAACCTAGTGACTAAGGATGAGATGTTGAGGCATAAAATGTTCACTCAATATCAATATAATCCAAAGTATTTACACGGTGCATGGTTTAGGGTATTTATAGGGGAGTGAACATTTAGGGTTGCATTTGGAGAGTGCATGGCCGAAAATGCAAGGCCAAATGAACATCAAATGAAACCCAAATTAACCCTAAATGCTACTTGGTGGCCAAGGATGAAATCTTTGGGTTTGGTTAGGCTACACCTAGGTGCATGATAAGACCATCCAACCTAGTTGCCCTCCATTTGGGCCTAAGCCATTCCAAGTCCAAAAATAGATCCCATGATCACCAAAAAATACGTTTAGGCCCTAAATAAATACCCTAGTCCAAAAAAATAAAATCATATAATCTAAGGCACCCCATAATACAAAGATAAAATTAATGAAAAATACAAGTGAAAATAAATTACAAGACTAAACTACCCCCAAAATACAAGGGTGAAATTGGAATAAAGAAATAAAATCCTATACTACTCAAAATGATGGATCCCACATGAAGCTCCAAGGATGGTCCTCCATCAGATCACTATATAGAGGATTAACTCCTGTAATTCCTCTGGCATCTATTATTAATCTTTGTGCCCAGGTAGTAGTTTTGTCATTTGTTGTTCTGTAATGTGTAATGTTATTATGACACTGTGGGAGCTTAACAAGATGGTAATCTTTAGTAGAATCCCATTTTGTCTAATTTTGTTGTCCATTTTGCAATGAAATGATGGAATCTCATCTTATATAATCCAAAATAAATCTTAAGATGAAATTTGAAGTAACAAAGTTGGTGATTTTAGTGGATATCTTTGATCTGTTTTCTTGTTCCTTGTAAAATATTGTTTTGTTGTGATATGGATATTGTTTTCAATGTATATAGTTCTTAGGGTTGTTTTGACTAGAATTTTTTTATGAATGGTTGTCCATGAACTAAATAATTGGCATCTTACAGGAACTTGATGGCAAAGCAAGACTTGGGTGAACTTGGTTTTAAGGAAAGTAAAGTAGAAACTCCTTGAGGGAAAATTACCGAGAGAAAAGATAATCAAGACCAATGAACTTGAAGAATTAAGAATGTAAATTGCTTTTGAGGTTAAGTTTTGGTAGTGCCATTTTTTTCCTTTGTCTTCATATTTCAATTATTTGATAAGTAATGTATAACCATGCACTGTGTATGTAATGGTGCCATTCGAAACAAGTTTTTAATCTTTTTTATTCAATCAAAAGCATTTTATTAGCCAAATAGACCTAATGTTAAACAATAAAGTTTGCATATAATTTACTATTACTTTTTGGTATATTTTTGTCAATTTTTCATCATGCAACATATATAATATGAAAATTTCATGTTAATTTAATGTTTTGTTTTACTCAAGCTTTTTATTATTTTATGTTAAACTATTATTTTTATAACAGGGGTTTGCAAACTCACTGACTTATATTTTTTTAGAAAGAATAAGTTAACAAGTTATAAATATAATTATTTTAAAAATCCACCCAAATGTAGTATTTTAACTTACTCATTTTAAAAAATTAGCAAATGATTGTGGAGTTTGTTAATCTACACTTAATTTTTTTTAGTTAGAATATATTAATAAATTATATCAAATATTTTTTAAAAATATACTCGGTGGAGTTTGATAAGTTCCTCTTTTAAAAATATTGTAAGATGAGAAACATATTTCGAATTTTCTAAGTTAATACAACTTTGTCAATAGATACTCATTTATAATTTCTTCTCAACTGTAAAGAATGATATTGAAATGTGTTATTGAATAAGATCTCTTATGTCGTGTAAATATTTGGCCATACAATACAAGTCGAATTATTTGCGCGGTTTAAATTGAATATGATATGATATTTAAAAGGTCAATAATTTATTAATTTTTAACTTAATTACAAATGATGTTTACTCTGCCTGTATAAAAAACAGAGAAAAAATAAAAATAAAAAATGTTTACTAGCCACGGTGACTGCAAATGGTAGCAAAAGGCTGCATCCAGTTTAATAAACTCGGATCTTTCGCATCTGCCAAATGTTAGTGTTTTGTTTAACTCAAATTTTAAAAAATAGTTATTATTTAAAAAGAAAAATGTTAGAAATATATCATTACATTTTGAAAAAAGAAATTAAAATAAACACGAAATTGGTGTTTTATGTACGACTATGGATTAATACAATTTTATAATCATTTGATATCTCAAGGGGAACTTAATTATGTAAAATTAATTTTAATTAAAAGTTAAATCGAAAGAAAGAGATTTGTCTTTGAAAAAATGTAGTTCAAATTTAAGTAAAATCATGTTGTAGTGTTTGAGGTAGGTGCATTTGAGGTATTAAACGCAAAACCCCGAACATAATACGAATGGTTATGAGAATAAAGACAATGTTTGGTGTTGATAGCGAATATGTTTCCAATTCCACCTGACACTTCATTAAGAACAATGTTTGGTGTTGACTTTGACTTGCATGAAGCACCCTTGAGTTCAAGGCTTATAGTTTGTTTCGACAACTTCATATAAGTTACATTAATTTTATTTTGTGGTTTTATGTTATGGTTTTTGTTGTTTGCAAAGTTAGGAAGCAAAAGGAGCTAAATGCGAAGTTTGTTTGGATAACTTGTTAGAATTTTTTTTCTATTTTTTTAAAATAAAAAAGTAGATGGATCGATTTTTTTTTTTGCGGTCAACAAAATGAATTCAGTTTAAAAAGATGTTTCGGAAACGATTTAGAAACGATGTTTTGGCCCAATAATCCAAAGTTTTGGCAATAAGTAAAAGGTCCTTGTGGGCCGAAAACAACTACCCAAGACACTGAAACGGATCAAGCAAGAGGTAGATTTTGGCACTTCGACAAAAACATTGAAACATGGCTCAGGATATACACCTCTTTTTTTTTTTCTTTTTTTTTTTTAAATTAATTAATTTATTTATTATTTTATTTTATAGATACATCTTTTTTTTTTTAAATAAAATTTTAAAATATTATTATTTTTAATTTTTAATTTTTAAGTATATACTTCTAATGTTTAAGTTAACGCTTTTCCATTCTTTTCCACACACTTTCTTCTCCTCTCTTTTCAATTTTTATATGTACCTTTTACTTTCCATTTATCATCTATTTCTGTAAATAATTTTGATTCTTTTTAATTTTTTATAATACTATTTTTTTTCTTTTCTTTCAGTTTTCACACTATTACCCTCTCCTTTACCTTTTTTTAGTTTTCACATGCACTCGAGATATATAATTGATATTTGACAGCATTATAGGCACGTGTGACTGCCTCAATAGTTTGAAGGTGTTGAGCCAAATGTGTGTTTTTTCTTCAATCTCAACATACAATATTCAACAATGCCGTCACACACTAATTTTATGATCTAGGTGCATGTAAAAAATGAAAGAGATAAGGGAAAAGAAAAAACATGAAAACCAAAAGAATTAAAACTATCTACTGAAATAGGCAAGAAGTAGGAATGTAAATAGGCCAAATCTTAAACAAGAATTATGACCTAACCTCTTTAAAATTTTATTGTATAATAAAAAGGTCAAGTTTAAACTTTTAAAAAATCATATTTATTTAAAAAAAATTGGACTTAGACTTGTAAAAAAGTCTATTAGGTCTAATAGGTCAATCTATTTATTTAGCATACATGGATGTACATAAGCTATCCCTTTATTATAAAACAATTTCATCTATTTTTTCTTTGTGATATTATATATGTATCTTGTATCCCTTAGACCATTTCATGTACAATGAATATTTTTTTTAGTTTATAAGTTTTTATCATAATTATTTTAGTTTGATAAAATATGAGCCGACTATTTAGAATATGTCAAATTAGATATAGGAAATGTTCTTACTAGGATCAAGTCGATTTCCTAAGTCATCTTCTTGATCTTGGTCCACAGGATTGGTCTCCATTCTCCAAGCACCTTGGATGTACCTGCAAAAAAGGACTTCAACGATCAAGTTAGTCTCCCTTGTTAACATTGTCCATCGTTTATATAATTACCTGTCTTTTCCCGTTATCGTCCGTTTTCTTTTCATGTAATCGTCATAGTTGTTACTTTGGAGAGTTAGTAGCGATTAAATTGGTCATCCTCATGATAAGGTACACGTCGAGGTCCACACTCATCATCATAAGTTCAATCCGATATTCCCATTCTGATGTCTGCGTCTCTTATTCTCGCTCTGGAAAGTTGAGCTATAAACTAAACTCGATTTTATCATAGATAAGACTGGTACAAGAAATATTTAAAAATTTTTTTATATGATTATCCTTTTCCATTATAAATTTATAAACTTACAACTTATGTGTATGTCAACATACATGACTACACATGAATTGTTTCTTTAAATTTTTTTCACTATTTCCTCTTTTTGTGAGATTGTGTATATTTCAAAATTTTAATTTTAATAATATTAAGTAAATTATATTTTATCACGCCAAATAAAAGTAACTCATAATAATGTATTTAAAAATAAATATATTGATTTTTTAAAAATTAGATTTATTGGTTTAATTAATATTATTAATATAAAATAAATTTTTAAATAGATTAATAGGTCGTGTTAGACTTTAAATAATCATATTATATCTATAAAAGAATTTATGATAGATAATAGGTCACATATAACTCATGATCAAAGTGAGTGTGAATTAATGTGTATAGTTGTATTTTCTTGCGTGAAAAATTTACTTAATTGGGTCTCATGACACTATTCTTGCTGGTATTTTTATTTCAATTTTTAGGCATGCTCTTTGTGGATGTCATTTGAGGTGTATGTAACAGGGGTTCTAGTTCAGATAGCTGCTTTTGTCTCCTTTTTGCTCAATTCTCATGGTTATTGCATCATGTGTGAGCGTCTTTTTTTAAATGAACCTCGTTCAACTGCTGCACTTGCATGTGTCTTTTACTTGACTTTAGTTGGTTACAAGGATTGTATGCCATACTTCTCTGTAAGTTTTTCTTAGTTGATCTATATAATGTGCAAGTTAATTGGTAAAAATTGTTATATTTGTGATTAACAATAAGTCTGCATGATTCTTTGATGCTAATTCATAATTGACCAAATGTGCAGGTTCTTCTGCTACTAAATTATTTTATATCATTCTAAATAATATTCCACCATATATCCCAAAATCTATTAGTGTTGCGAGAACAATTGAGCATTATAGAAAATGAGGATATTCAAGCAATGCATGATGCTGTGTATAAAAAGTACACAATGTTCAAGTAAGTGCCATATATCTGAGAATTGTATGAGTAATTTCTTTCCAAATGAATAGATATATTTCACTCATGCAGCCAAACAATAATTCATATTTAAATAATAATAGTCGACATGCTTTCCTTTGTGTAGGAAATTTCAGGGTGCAATGCAAATAGTAGCTGCGGTAGAAACTGTGGTATTATTATTCGGGTTTCTATTTATAAACTTAAACGATCAATGATATATATAAATATATGACTTTGACAAGCTCATCAATTTTAGATATATATGAACATGGATGAGTCTTCAAAGAATTACTGGCTTCGTTTATTGATCAGAGAGTGGGCACAATCCTGCATATTTGCGTAGATTAATTGGGTGTGTTCCAGAGCAATAACACTTGAATTCTCTGAACTTTATAAAATTTGTTGGCAAAAAACCACTCAATATGATTTTCCTCCAACTATATGATCATTTTTCTAACCTTAAATAGCTCTTAATATATTCCTTTACCTACAGATGGATTTTCAGGTCACAAGATTTGGCACCAAACTTCTCTGTTATGCCTACCACAAAACGTACAGGCGAGACCCTGGTGCCTCCCATATCCAGTATTGCAAGTTTTCCATCTTCACATGGTGCAGAAGTTAAGATTGCAACTGTGCCTCGGAACATTTATAACAAAAATGTTTTCAATATATGAATTCTAAACATTCAGGTATAGTCGTAAGAAATCAGTTGTAAATGATGTTTGCAATCTAGCCTCTCTTTAGGATTGAATCCCCTACTTGTTCTTCTGTCAAGCCATACTTTTTGGAAGACAAGGATCCCAATTTATACCTTTTAACATAATCACTTTGATAAGCTTAGAATGCTAGGTCTCATTCTCATATTCAAAACAGATAATTGAAGAATAATCTAGTCTAAAAGTTTGCAAATTTGTAATTGTATAAGCTTTTGCTGGCTTGATTTATCTTCCTGTGTAGCCAACTTCTACTTCTCACAATGAAAGCTTCAAAGATGAAGTATTGGTAATCATTCAGCATCCTCGAGCATAAAGGCTAAGAAAGCTCAAAGCTTTTCCTCATAACGCCGACCGTTTTGTTGTGTCCGGTCTCAATACAAATTCATTCATCTCCATGGGAAACACGATGAATACTACTAGATGATCAATTATACCTGCATTATATGCTTATGCCTTTTTCCTTGCAGTTGGCATGGGCACGATGATTTATATCTTTAATTATTACACCATGAATATTTTTTTCTTGACTTAGGAATCATGGGCTAAGGGAGTAAGGGTAAAACAATGAGTTTTAGCTCGTTTAGCAAAGTTAGAAGTTAGACGTAGCTGCAGATATGTAACAATACATTATCATAGTGGTGATAAATGTTTATAATCCTCTTGATCCCAGTGTTGGTTACATTCATTTTCAAGAACAGATATGTCAAAGGGTTTTTAATTTTTATCTGATACCAGGAGTCTTGGACACTATATATAAGCCCAAACTGGAACGGGCCGTTCCCAAAATGGAACGGGCCGTTCCAAAATACTAAACTTGCCTACAAATCTTGAAGGAGAACGGGGCGTTCTCAACTAAAACGGGCGTTCCAGACATGGAATTTATGAGTTATATGTAACAACAGAACGGCCCGTTCTGGTTATAGAACGGGCCGTTCTGGACGTGAAATTTTACACATGACGCAGAGTCCAGAACGGCCCGTTCCGGATTTGAAACGGGCCGTTCCGGACACTCCTGATGCCTATATATACAGCGTTCTGGCACTCTTTTTTACATTTTTTGAAAATCAAGGGAAACCTAGAGAAGTAGACCAACCAGATCCTGCTCTAATTTCAGCTGCTGCTTATTGAGGTACGGGTGGAGAAGAGTTCTTGTAGAGTTTTTAATAATTTTATGATATTCTGTATGTGTTTAGGATTATGAATATATAATTAATTTGTAAAAATGATGATCTGAGAGAGGAAATTGTATAAAAGTGCGTGTAAGTTAGGTTTTGAAAAAAATAGGAGATTTTACTATTTGATTTAATATTCTATTAAATTAGTGAATCAATTGAGTTTTATATTAATTTATAAATGTTATTGTTATATTATATGATAAGAATTGATCATCTAGATGTGAATTCATGGTGATTTGCTTGAGGGATATGTGAATCCTTTGTGTGGATTTAGTGTATGTGTTGTGTGAATGTGAATGTGAATGTGGTTGTGGTTCCTCACACTTATGACCAGGGGTGGCACGACCTTGGGTAAGTGACGCTACAGGGGTGGCGTGACCTTGGCATAGTGTGGAATATGTGAGGCAATTAATATGTATCACTTATGTTAGGAGTGACACGACCTTGGGCAAGAAATGCTACATAGGTGACGTGACCTTGACACCATGTTATATCAGGGGTGAGCACGACCTTGGGCTACTACAGGGGTGGCGTGGCCTTAGCATAGTATTATTTGCAAGATTTATGATGGATTGGTGTGATTGTGAAATTGTGATGTGAAGTTGATGCATGATTGATAGAATTATGATATGTACAAATGATTGTAAATATTTCATTATATAATGAGTTATGATGAGATTACATTGTGGTGTGTTTGTATGTGTTTTACATATAAATGTTTTATTTTCTCACCGTATAATTTGTGGATGTTTTAGGTGAGGAAGATCCGGTTTTGAGTGACATCTAGAATGCCAATTGAATTGTGGGTGTGTTCTAGTATTGTGACATCGGGGTAGAGAATTTTAGGATATAAATTTTTATATGTATTTAGAGTTGTACCTTTTCTTTTGAAAACAATTTGTAAACTCTTAAGTTTTATTTTCAATTATTTTGGATATTGAAGAACAATTATGAAGGTTTTATGTGAACCCTTCTACTAACGTTGAAAATTTTATTCTTTAGCTTATTTACATTGTTATTATATATGTGTTGAGGTGGTAAGACTGTCACAAGAAATATGTTTTATAATAACTATTGTAATTAAAGAATTAAAGAATGGTTTATAAAATCAGTTGAAGAATAAAATAATCAAAAAAAATATGCATCCTAAAGACTATAGAGAAATGTGTAGTTTATTGTATGTCTAGGTCTATAGATAACAGATATTTTAATATTTAACCCCCAAAAGGTAAAAGAATATTGATGCTTCAAAACTTGGCTGCTGGTTGTTGCAGGGTGCACCGTATTTAATTGAATCGAGTTGAAATTTGTGAGACGCATGAAACTCTAGAAATGAGTGGCGCAGGTATGTGATTCTCCTTCACTTGAAATATTGTTATTGCGATGTTTACTTGTTGGGTGTAATTATGGTGCAGGCGGTGCATTTGGTGGCAATAGGGGGCTCCGTCCAGTGCCTCCCGAAAAGGGGATATTCCCATTGGACCACATGCACTTGTGTGACTTAGTATGCTATCTTAACTTATATCTTTCTTTTTTCATTATGCCTTTCTCCTAATTCCTCTATTCGCCTCTTTTTAGGAGAAAAGAGAATATATCAACTGTCTGAAGACCGCTTCACACCAGTCTGAGAAATGCAGGCAATTCTCCAAAAAATACCTCCAGTGTCGCATGGACAAGTCAGTTCTTTTTAATATAGTCACAACTTCTAATGCACTTTTTTTCCTATTTCGCGTTAAGTAGGCTAATCAAACTTGTTGTGTAACTTTATGAGTTACCACTTAGTAGATTTGAATTGATCATTCTAAATTTGAGTGTGATTTGTTCGAGTGAGCAGTGCTTGTTTACATTAATTGTGACATTAACTATGCAATTAGATCAAATAAAAGAAAATACATGTACAACCATATCTTTATACCCAAAAAAGACAACAATAGGCATAGGGTCACTGTATAGAGGATTAACTCCTGTAATTCCTCTGGCATCCATTATTAATCTTTGTGCCTAGGTAGTAGTTTTGTCATTTGTTGTTCTGTAATGTGTATTGTTTTTATGACACTGTGGGAGCTTAACAAGATGGTAGTCTTTAGTAGAATCCCATTTTGTATAATTTTGTTGTCCGTTTTGCAATGAAATGATGGAATCTCATCTTATATAATCCAAAATAAATCTTAAGATGAAATTTGAAGTAACAAAGTTGGTGATTTTAGTGGATATCTTTGATCTGTTTTCTTGTTCGTTGTAAAATATTGATATGTTGTGCTATGGATATTGTTTTTGGTGTATATAGTTCTTAGGTTTGTTTTGACTAATTTTTTTATAAATGGTTGTCCATGAACTATATAATTGGCATCTTACAGGAACTTGATGGCAAAGCAAGACTTGGCTGAACTTGGTTTCAAGGAAAATAAAGTAGAAACTCCTTGAGGAAAAATTTCCGAGAGAATTGATAATCAAGACCAATGAACCCGAAGAATTAAGAATGAAAGTACTTTTGAGGTTAAGTTTTAATAGTGCCATTATTTTCCTTTGTCTTCAAATTTCAATTATTTGATAAGTAATGTATAACCATGCACTGAGTATGCAATGGTGCCATTCGAATAGCATGATAGTGAACAAAAGATGATAGGTTGTTTATCTCATTCCCTTCCCTCTATCAAAAACGTGGTTATGATTATATGAAAGAAGATAACTGATGCAAAGAACATTTCATTCGTGGCTTTTGTCCTTTAAAAACTATGCAGTGAGTGAAAGTAAAAGTGCTTAGCAATGATGAAAAAATTGGACCGGATTAGATTAGTCTATTCAATCGATAAATTGATGAACAAGTTAGTTATTTGGTTTATTCAACCAAAAAGACCTGTTGAGCCCGTCCTTGAATTGGTTCGAAATAAGTTTTTAATCTTTTTTATTCAATCAAAAGCATTTTATTAGTCAAATAGACCTAATGTTAAACAATAAAGTTGGCGTATAATTTACTATTACTTTTTGGCATATTTTTGTCAATTTTTCATCATGCAACATGTATAATATGAAAAATTCGTGTTAATTTAATGTTTTGTTATACTCAAGCTTTTTATTATTTTATGTTAAACTATTATTTTTATAACAGGAGTTTGCAAACTTACACCGACTTATATTTTTTTTTATAGAAAGAATAAGTTAACAAGTTATAAATATAATTATTTTAAAAATCCACCCAAATGTAGTATTTTAACTTACTCATTTTAAAAAATTAGCAAATGATTGTGGAGTTTGTTAATCTACACTTAATTTTTTTTAGTTAGAATATATTAATAAATTATATCAAATATTTTTTAAAAATATACTCGGTGGAGTTTGATAAGTTCCTCTTTTAAAAATATTGTAAGATGAGAAACATATTTCGAATTTTCTAAGTTAATACAACTTTGTCAATAGATACTCATTTATAATTTCTTCTCAACTGTAAAGAATGATATTGAAATGTGTTATTGAATAAGATCTCTTATGTCGTGTAAATATTTGGCCATACAATACAAGTCGAATTATTTGCGCGGTTTAAATTGAATATGATATGATATTTAAAAGGTCAATAATTTATTAATTTTTAATTTAATTACAAATGATGTTTACTCTGCCTGTATAAAAAACAGAGAAAAAATCAAAATAAAAAATGTTTACTAGCCACGGTGACTGCAAATGGTAGCAAAAGGCTGCATCCAGTTTAATAAACTCGGATCTTTCGCATCTGCCAAATGTTAGTGTTTTGTTTAACTCAAATTTTAAAAAATAGTTATTATTTAAAAAGAAAAATGTTAGAAATATATCATTACATTTTGAAAAAAGAAATTAAAATAAACACGAAATTGGTGTTTTATGTACGACTATGGATTAATACAATTTTATAATCATTTGATATCTCAAGGGGAACTTAATTATGTAAAATTAATTTTAATTAAAAGTTAAATCGAAAGAAAGAGATTTGTCTTTGAAAAAATGTAGTTCAAATTTAAGTAAAATCATGTTGTAGTGTTTGAGGTAGGTGCATTTGAGGTATTAAACGCAAAACCCCGAACATAATACGAATGGTTATGAGAATAAAGACAATGTTTGGTGTTGATAGCGAATATGTTTCCAATTCCACCTGACACTTCATTAAGAACAATGTTTGGTGTTGACTTTGACTTGCATGAAGCACCCTTGAGTTCAAGCTTATAGTTTGTTTCGACAACTTCATATAAGTTACATTAATTTTGTTTTGTGGTTTTATGTTATGGTTTTTGTTGTTTGCAAAGTTAGGAAGCAAAAGGAGCTAAATGCGAAGGGCATTGGATAATGATTTGTTTATAAATTTGTTTTTCTCTCTTTCTGTGCCTCGATGACACCGCTCCTTCATTATTTATCTGGTCGAACCGATGTTTCTTGCCCTTTTCTCTTCTCTTTTCCTATTTCCATGGCTACTCACTTCAATCTGCAACATCAACTATTCAACTACTCGTAAGCTTCCTCTTTTTTTATTTTTTTTTCTTGCTTTAACGTTTGTTACAAACGCTTCAAAATGATAGTATGACCCCTTACGTCCTGTGAAAGAATGAATAATAATTTATGTTTTTATTAAACTCATTACATATTAATGTTAAGATGAAGAACAATCTTTTCCATTTTGGAGATTTTGCTACTTCAATTTGCTTTTCATCATACAGACATTAGGATTTGTGCAGGTTATGAAGAGGATAATTACTAACTTTTTGAGTTTTGAGAATGAGTTTCCATATTTGGTATATATTCTTTCGCTACCCCTTTTTTGCCTCCTTATGAATTTAAGCTTCTCTTGTTTTTATTTCCCCATTCTACTAAAACTTCTTCAGAAATAAACCATTTATCGTTTAATCAGAATGCCAAATTTTTTGAAAAGAAAAAAAAACACCTGTTATTGAAACTTGAAAGGTGACCTTTTCTACAAAATTCAAATTTTATCTTGAGTTGCTGCACTTGATGTCCTGGTAATAATGCGTTATTGGCAACCGACAAGTTTGTGAGTTGTATTGCCCTATAGTAACGATTTAAAAATAAAAATTCATTATCATAAATGTATATTGTCTCAGTGTCCCTGTGTGTGAAATCAAGTAGCAGCTTCCTATATTAGTAGCTACTTTCAGCTAATATCTTTGTATTATTATCTACGATGTATGTTACGTAGTTATGAATTTAAGACTGCATATCATGAAAAGTTCATGCATCCCTTGCTTTTTCTTGCAGCAGATCCGTGGGATTAGATATCAGAAGAAAAACAACTGCTCACGCCCTTCAACATGTCAATTCAAATGGATTAGATGAGAGAAACAATACTTCTTTGAACAGTGGCCTGTTAGTTGGATCTTTTTCTGTATGTTACACTTCCTTAAAGAAGTGTTCCTCATTGACAGCGTCAACTAAGACTCATTTTTCCTGTACTGATCAAAGCAAAGAAGCAGATGAGATTACCAATGTTTCATCCAGTACCAGTAGTCAGCGAATGGAATTTAATAGAGTGGATTGTGTTGTGTGGTTATTGCATGAATCTTCTAGGAGCTTTTCGCAAGCTATCAACTCGCTTGGACTAGCAAGGAGTGGTCCTGCTCTTGCAATGGCTTGGATTGGGAAGGATGTGCATGAGTGGCATAGACGTATTGCTTATCAGGTACTCTCTTTGGACCTGTATATAAGCAAAAAAAGACCAATTTCACACAGATTAAAAAAGTTAATTAAATGTGTTTAATTTTCATGATTCCTTAAAAAATATATACTACATTTCATAAAATATCGTTAATCACATTTATTGTAGATAGTGCTCTTATGTATTATCTTATAATTATTTTTTGAATTAAAAGTATTAAATAAAGTTGATTTGATTGAAATTTACATATATTCTAGTCCAAAAAATTTAAACATTTATTATTTATATTTAGTTCCAGAGGGAGTATATGCCGCAAAATGTTCTTTAGTAAAGAAATATGTAGTTTTGTCCAACAAGTTAATTTTTTTTTTTTATATACATTATTAGCCAGCAATTTGCATATAAGCCTGTTAATGAAAAGGTGCATATACTTATTTTCTTCCCTGAGAAATTATCATGAATAGTTTATTGGATCCAATAGAAAATATAACTGATGACATGTTCACACAGGTTGCAGTTTATGCTTTAATGAAAGCAGCAATTGATTTGGAGATATTGCTTTCACACGACCGACTAAATGAATCTTCCCCTGTTAAAGAGATGTAAGCTTTTACTGTTTTCTCTCTTGCATACTTACTAAATAACATTAACTATGAAAGGTTTCTTTTCTTGTAAATGATAAAGTTGACATATATACAAGAGATGTAACAAGTTAAACTTTTATCAACCCTATGATTGGAAGAATAATTGTGCATCATTTTATATTATATTTACTATTTCCACTTTTCCCTTACAAGTTATGACTAGTAATAGTAAACGTGACATTGTCAAATACAATTGATATAACTCATATAAGCATCGCTCATATCTGAGTTACTTTTTCTCCCTGGTTTCAGTTTGAGTCCATTAATGAATCAAATGGGAGAACACATTGAAATTCGACTGAAAATGAAGCATCCATATTTGGTGCAGTGGTTTAGAGACACTGAAATGCCGCAAATAGCAGGATATTTTATTGCACTTCTAAAAAAGTGGTCCGTGGAATATGCAGGAAGGTTTGTTTGAAACAACTTAGTTTTCAGAAACATATATTTGAACCTTGGATTGAAAATCCTTTTTCTTAGTCAACAAATGTGCGCATTGGTTTGACTTCCAAAGTTATTCTTCAAGTTGATGGTGTTATATTCATTTTTGTTAGATTCGCCAAATATTCAGGAGAAGGAATTTAGCCTGACAGAAAACTATTCAGCGGTATTGCAGGAATTATTGTGGCTATAACCTGTTGTAGTGCAGTGGTGAAATTGAGCTCTAGGCGCAGCTGCTGCCACTTACCTGTATTGTCTTTCGAAGATGTTTTGGTCAAGCTCATGGATTTTTCACTCAGTCTTGCATCTCTGGACAAGTTACATCAGTTAGCAACTGAGGCAGGATTTGAACTAAATTTCTTGTCACATTTTGGTGGGAAGGTTTTTCCCAGTGATAAAACTGAGGACCTAGAGTTTTGGATCGGTTTGGCCCATAGGAAACTATTGAAAGCTTTCAGTGAAGAAAGCATGACTTCAAAGAAGCAAAATTTTCAGCAAAAGGTCAACTTGCAGACTCATGCAGAAATTCATGAATTGATAGAACTTAATCTGAGTATAATATCTACTTAAGAAATTTTGCTCATACCCGGTGATGGCAGAAACATTTAAGCAATACATATTAGTCCTGTTCTTTAGATGGACATTATGAAGAACATGCTTTATCATTGTGCATTTTTCTTTTTCAGTGTTATGAAACAGAGAGAATACATTCCTAGTCATGATTTACATGATCGCATGCCTGCTAAATACCCTGTCTGTTAATCTTGTTATTTTATAGGTGCAGTGGTTATATATCATTCTGAAGTCAGATAGTTGTTTATGGTGTACCTTCTACAGATTCCAACAGATAGTTTGGCCACATTAGGACTTTTTACATATCTTGGAAGAAGGACTAGAATATTTTTATCAGCAATGGGCATTAAGGATCTTGACGGAATAGTTAAGGACTTCCTCAGGTTGACCTCTTTGCTCGTTTGTTACATTTTAACCATTTCTTTTTTTAAGATACTGATATGAAGATTCAATGCTTTGGTTTAAGTTACTTGGAATGTGGCATTCTTTTCATTTATCCTGAATTTTCCTCAATCCGAGTGTATCAGTGTTTCATGGAGGTTAGTTTGTTAGTTCAGCCAATGTTGAATACCTTTTCTATGTTGGGATTAAATGTCACTAATTTTAACCTGTACTGTCTTTAGGTGGTAACTGATGAGATAGGATGGCTTGATTTTTATGCTTCATATGTTCAACTAAACTGCAAGGAGCAAAGGCCAAAACATAATGCACGCCAGGCAGAGAAAGAGATAATTTCTTCTGTAGTTTTTACTGTGTGCTATGATGTTTTCTCTGGGTTTGCGCACTTCAATCGCTCAACTCAACAGTCATTGGGCATAGCTTCACGGATGTACTTGCTTCAGTGGTAATATTTAATCTATACATCAGTTTTACTAGTTCAAGTTTCTCTGTCTGCCTATAGTTATTATTAACCTTGTATGTTTTTCAACATTCCTAGTCAGGGTCTGCTAAGTATTTGTCTGCAAGATCACTGGGCTGCATATGACAAATCAGGGTAGGCTGGTTTCATAGGATGCTTTTACTTGTTATATATTGTGGATACTTGAATATTGCCTATTTGCAGTGAATCACTAAATATTGTGGATCATGCTGCATTTGACAACACGTCATATATGGGAAATATAAATGGACCCAAGTTACCTCTGGTGTATGAAGTGCAGCAGATGTCACATGATTTAACTACAGAAGGAAGTCCAAAGAGTAATTCTCGAAACAGTTGTATATTCAAAAAGGTATCTTAGGTAGCATTATTTGTTATAACATGATAGATACTAAGTTAAGGAAATGCATTATCTTACTAAACTAGGGATGTAAGTTGATGCTTTGTGTGAGTTCACTGCTCAAGTTTAGAATTCATTCACTAGGTTTTGAATTGATTTTTGTTTTGTGTTGGGATTTCAGCTCATCTATTTTGATAAGAGGATCGGTTTTATTGATGTAAATTGCATAATATAGAATTCAGAAAATGGCGAGCTATGTTACTGCACATGCTTTTTGCATGTCATGGATGCATGCTACATGCTAAGAAGATTCCCTATTCTGCACCAAATATATTTGCACAAGATTTGGTGCGTAACAATCCATAGGAAACCAATAACCTACATTTTTTAACTAGTGTTTTTGAGTGTCAACTTTGGGAAACATCAGTCATACATATGCCTTCCTTTTAGTAACCATTTTTTTTTTCTCATTTTTTTGATCATAGGCTCCAATTCCAGCAATCACAAACAAGGAAACATATGGGAAAGATTCCTGCATTGACAAGCCAAATCGTCAGCGTGAAAGTTTTATCAAGAGATACAGCACCAAGTTGGCATCCACAAGTGCAGTAAGATTTCTAATCATCTTTTCTGGTAAATGTACTGCAGATTGTCTTGACTCTAGGCTCTTAATCTGTGGAATGTTTTACTAGGACCTCCGGATGGGTACTTTGTTGCTCTTCATAGACATCATGCTTGCCTTAGAGCTACTTGTAAGGAAAGTGCATGGCTACAAGCCTTCAGGAAGTCAACAAAAGAGGCTGAACAGAACTATCACAGACATAATTGTGCTAATTCCGGTGACAATCTTGATGCTACTTCCGGTGAGCATCTTTACCCTTTCGGATACTTGTGATTTAGTTTACTTGTTTCCTCTTATTTGAATGTAATATCAACTAGTTTATCATCTTGGTGTGTAGAAATATTAGACTAGAAAAGGACAAAAGCTGTGTTTAAGATAGTGAACCCAAAATTACAAAACTTGAATGTGGATGTTTTGTTAAAATGCAATTTGTTCAATTGCTTTGGTTTGTTGAATGTTTTCCATGTTAACATAACCATACATAAGGGGGATTTCGAATTCTGATCTTTAGCAGTTGAGAGAAATATCCTGGAGACAACAACCAAGCGGTACCACTGTTGAATAAATAATTATTGTTAACTTCTAGTTGCTAAATGTATTAATAAACTTTAGGGTTGTTGAAATGTGGAGATATATATATATATATATCAGCTAATTTTTATTTTATGTGTGTGATGAAAGAGTTTACACTTAGACTTGGTAGAATGCAAGTTATTTAAGGATCAAACGCTTAAAAATGAGAGTGAAAAATTGAAAGATGAATTTTCAATGTTATTTTTCACATGGCACACACACCACCCCACTTTTAAAGCCATGCTAAACTACCCATTAATACGAGGTATAATTCTTTTTTTAACATATATTAACATTTTTTTAAAACCCACTTTAGCATTTTCTGAATCGATGATCACTTTGTCTGAGAAACAAAATCTGGTGAGAAAGAAAGTGCGACTGAGAGGAATAGAACAAATTTTCCTTCCTCCTTTGGAATCCAAACAAAGGGTTATATGATTTTAGCTAAATGTGCAATCATAATACAGTATAACTAATAGTTACACGTAGAAGAAATATGCCGAAGTATTTCAATTAAACGTTGATATTCATCATGTTAACAGGTAACAGCTATAGGCCATGCAGCTATCCTAGCAGCTATAAAGAAGTATATGCCATTCTTGGTAACTTTTTGCTGCCTTGTCCATCATGATTTTTATTTCTTTTACGCTACTGATGATGCTTGCTACTGTCTGCAGATACCTTCCTCTTATTCTTCAGAGCGCTTGGATGTTGTAAAGCAAATAAAGCAAACTAGAGAGATGGCTGATCAGTTACATTTGGCACAGTTTGACCTTGAAGATCAACCAGCAACCATTTCTGGACTATGATCAAGTCTCAGATATATTTAGCTTAGTGCTTAATCATTCCAATCAAACTTCATAGTGGTTTAGTTCAAACCTTAAAGAGGACAGTTAGTTCAAAGGCATTCCAAGTTTCAACAGTGTCCATAGCAGTTAGTGTCGCCTCAATGGCAGTGAGAATACCATAATTAGTGACCGAAGAAAAAAAAAACACTTCATATTCACCCCTGTTGATTTTCTAATCACGTTATTTGAACGTTAAAATGGATGTTACAATACTGAATTTAATTGCCCTCACAGCTTGCTTGGCAAAATGCAGATGCAGATTCATCCCTATTGATTAATTGCTTCAGTCTATATATCCCTGCTATACTCAATTCAGTTACCCTCAAAACTTGTTTGAGAAAGTTCAAATGCAGATTCATCCATGTTGATTAATTACTTCAGTCATATCCACCCTATTTGCCAGCTCCATTCCCCTCACCGAACCTCGTATCAAATTGATTTTAAGATTACGTATAGGGTTCATAAATAGGAGTTCACCCTAATAATTAAAGATGCTTATTTTGATTTCCTAAGTCGATATTATATTTTAAGCTATATGAAATACTGATTTATATAGCAGCAGAAAATATGAATCTAGAAAGTACGTATTCGTATCTCCACTGTTTGGGTCATGATTCGCATCCGCATAAACTATCAATAATTTTCTTGATATCGGAGTTCATCTTTATAATGAAATGGTTGCTATCAAAGACTAATCTAGAATTTGATTTGATCATGGCATTCAAAACATTAGAGAATCTGATTCTTCCAAAGCTATAATCCATGGAGCTTCTCATTAGGAGCAGTATAACATGTTTGAGGATCATCCTCATTCCTCAAGGCTTGTCTTTTCTAATAGTTTTGCTGTTCTTTCTCCTATACAGCTTGAGCTCTGGTTTCTTTTCCTGTGCGCCTATAAAACTATCCATCACACATAGTTGACACCAATAAATATGAATAGACATTTGCAAAATCTGAGTTGTGTTTTACTTGACGCCTGAATTACAGTTGCAAAATCTCAACCATTGACTACAAACGCAACATACTCGTGAAAATAAAGCATTCTACACAACATTCCCATGCTAAAATCTAATTAAATGACAAAAAACAACCATTTTGAATCTCTTCTTCCATGTCCAAAATGTATTCTCATTTTATTACTTTGTTATCAACATGGACATGTAGAATTCTCATTTATAATGCTCCATCATGGCAAGAGAAAACCAACTTTTTGCACAGGTAAGGAACTATAAAACGTTTGTTCTATTAAAGTCAACCGAGCAATTCCACACCGTAAATATCATCCACAACAGCACAAGATCGATAGTTTAAATCATTCTCCTTGAATCACGTGCGGAGGCAATATGATCCTACAAGCATAAACAATGTGATCATGTCAATCCAACAAACGCTAAACAAAGCATTCTATGATAAATATATATCATCTCAATCAATTCTGCCCAAAGCATACTTTATGTTTTATTAAACTTAAATGCATTAAATATTGAAAATCACCCATCCGATGCATAGATGGGAACCGACTGAGAATTAGTGACATTATAATAATCCAGATTATTAAATCAATTTTAACAGATTTTACCCTAAACGGAATATACTTCATTCATCAGCAAAAAAGGCATGATATAACCAAAAAAATGCAAACCAGCAAAAACACCATGATCTAACAAGGTAAATTATTCATGCGTTTCTATATGTTCAGTCATGAATTTCTTGTTTCAAGCCTATGATTTCATGAACAGCCTGTAAAATACCAATTGGCTTCTTTCTGAAGATAAATCAGACTTCAATTTCATTAAACTAGCTAAATTTAATATTAACAAATCTGTATTTCACAAAGCATTAAATTCAAACCAGACCCTTAACAAAAGTTAAACCAACAAAAGGTACTTGAAAAGTACTTACAAAAAACTTACCGAGATAAAGTCAAATGCTTTAGTTTCTTCTTTCTTTGAAGTGTTGATCATTGAGGTAGGTGTTTGAGTTTGCAAATTTGGTTGAAATATGTCTGGCAAAGGTGAACTTCCATTGGGTCCAGCCATTTGAGCAAAACCATCATCTCGCGCATTGACATTACTAAGGTGTTGGAAATTAGCCATTGTAGCTAAGAGTTGCTGCTGGGCCAAAAGAGTTCCCATGGCACCGTAATTAAGAGGCTGGGACAAATAGGGTTGGTTCAGCATGAAACCAGGCTGTAAATTATAAGGCAGAGGACCAGTAGAAAACATGGGATTTGCATTGAACCCCGCTGGCTGAGAGTTCAATATGCCACCTGAAGTATTGTCAGCGATGTGGTTATTTAAACCTGAAAATAAAGATTCAGATTGCAGGGAAGGAGATGTTCCCTTCTGCTTCATACTTGATGTATTTTCATCCATTGACAGACCAGACATTAAATCAGTAACAAGCTCCTTATGGTTTTCTTGCTCAGAATTGGAAGAAAAAATGTCAATAAGTTGAGGATCACTTATATTCCCCTGCCTGTGACTCTCATGATCATCCTGTTTATCACCACCAACAGACATCCCAGAAAAGAGATCATCTGTATGTTCATTGTTCTCACTAGTGTGAAATGACACATCAGCAAAAGGATCATCATCACTTTTTGATTCTTGAACAGCACTAATAGAGCCACTAAAATCTCCAAATAAATCATCAACTGGAGGATTGGATGATGTCAAATTTGCTATATTTTGATCAGCTGTACTCTTTACAGTGTCATTGGTTCCATGATAATCATTTGAATCACCCGTGTCTATCAAGTCAGGCAACTCAGCAACAGTAGCATTTTCTGTTTTTACAGCCTTCTCTGAATTAATTGCCCAGCTATTTGGTTGGCCTCCACCTAAAAGACCAGTAACCTGTTCATCAAGGAACCACGTGCTAAATTAAATTACAGTGATTCCTCTTAAAAGATTTTAGGTCACATTTACAAAGAAGTCTAATTATTATTGTTAAAATATTAAAAAATTATAAATAACACTTAGATTTTTTATTTAAAAAACACTTACATATTTGGTATAAGGTAATTCATTTCTTGCATAATTGACAAAGAAAAAGAAACATCTACACAGTTACAAGGGTTTGAGATTTAGAATAAATCCATCACCAGTATCTATAATCCATGGCTATCCACCAAATATTTAATTATAAAGACTGTTTTGCAATTAGACTCCATTTTAATAATCAGCATCCTACCTTCTCAGTCTCATTAGTTTTCACATGACAAACCATCCGTAACCTGTAAATACATTCTTCTCCAATACCTTGAGAACAAAAAACCTTAGGGTCTGTTTTTGGTTTAGGTATTTTCTGTTTTCATTTCCAAAGAAAACAGAAATTAAGAGAAAATACATTTAGTTTTAATTTTAGAAAATATTTTCTTTGAAAATATATTTTCAAAATAGAGCTTCTTTTGAAAACAAAATTATATCGTTTTCCTGGAAAAGCTCATATGAAAACAAAATTATATCGTTTTCCTGTTTAGATTGTGTGCAGTTCTTTGTCAATTTTCTGGCAATTTATTTGCAACACTTATTCTTATATTAGTTTATTTTCTCATAATTTTATTCCAATTTCTTTCTGGTAACAATATCACAGTCAAATGCATTTTTTAAGACAAATGGTACTAATTATATTTATATATTATTTTGTGATACTTAAAATAAAAAGTTAGTTGTATTTATTTTTATTTACTTTTGAAAGTCTATATCTATTATGGAGGAAATACATTTTAGCAATTACTTTTTTTTATTTCCATTTTTTGATTTGACACGTCCACTTGTATGTATTAAATAGGATAAGATAGTGTTTTTAGAAATTTCTTTTTAGTTAGAGTGTTTTTAACCACTTTTTTCAATGAGAGAACTTTTAGAGTTTTTTAAAAAAAATTTATCTAATTCAATTTTTTACTTATCATATTTAAGTATAAATTAAATTTTAATATTTTAAAAATAATTTTCAATAATTAAAAATAAACTTGTATCACAATATAAATTATGTATCATAAATCTAAAATATTATTATCTTAAAATATTTATTTATACAAAATTTATATATTTAAATATAGAATTTATTACTATATATAATTTATTATAAATTTTAGTTATATATAATAAACATGTCGCATGTGAATTGCACATGCTAAAATACTAGTTTATCTTTAAGCTCGAAATACACACATTATAATTTTTGAAACTACTCATTCTCTGCAGTAAAAAAATTCACCTAATTACCTACTTTTAAATCTTAGTTCTTTTAGAATCATCTACTTCCAAAATCCCTCAAAAACAAATATACAGGGACACGAAGTGTCTTTTTTTTCCTACACAACAATAATTTTATTACAAATTGTTAAACTAAACAATTTTCATTTTTTAAAAATAGAAATCAAAATTTCAAACCAAACATATTTTTTAATTTTCAATACTTGAAAATGAAAATGATTTTTAAAAAATAGAAATAGAAAATGAAAACAGAAAATATTTTCAAAAACCAAACAGACCCTTAGTGATCTCCAAAGCCACATAATCACTAAAGGCATGCTACCAAATCTATTCATAACATCAGCTTATAATCCTTTGGTGATGTCCAAAGTACCACATAAAATATATAATCAGAAGAAATTCAGTACAAATTAGTAGACTCTAAATGACCATTTTTTTTCTTCTTCCTAGTTCACTACTTTTTTCATTACTGCCATTAAGGGTAACTTATTTGAAATAAATGTAAAATGTAAAAATGATAGAGAAGATGGAATTTTCAAAAATTAACTATTCATTTAGATTGGTAGTGACTAGTGAGGGTACCTTCATAGCCCTTTCCCTTAAAGAGGCTTGGGGAGATTCAGAACATCTCAGCACCACATCTTTATTTTCAGTGAAGTAATATTCCACCGGTGAAAAATGATCATCATCCTTCTTTCTAAGGATGGCCTCAAGGACACAAACAGCTTTCATGCGAACCTGAAAATGATTTCACTATAAGTTAAAAAAAAATGAAGGTAATGCAGCAAGACTCCTAAAAATTCTTAGTCTCCACTTGTATGTAAACTGATATAGCAAGGCAGTATAATACTAGGGGGGAAAAAGGATATAGCTGCTTAAATTAAGAGACATAAAAAAAACCCATTAAAGTTAAAATGTTTTATCACCAGAAAAGGTTCATGTAATGTCCCACCATATTGTTATCCCAAAATACTTGAAAAAAAATGTTAATCCGCAATTTTATTTTTTTTGATAAATAAACAAGTGCATGTTTGTAAAGTTTATACTTTATATGGTCTTTCATGTGTGAATTTATATTTTTATAGAAACATCAACATAACAGACATGCCTGCCAAATTGGAGATTGGAGCTTTAGTTCAATGGCATGACATAAAGCCAGTGCATCCAATTTTGCAGCCTCTGTTAGGAAAACTTGAATGGCATCTCGTGTGGGTTGCAGGCGAACACCTCCTGAAGTTACAATTGTCTCCAACAACTTTTCCTCTCTTGTCTTACTCTCTACAGAACTTGCACCAGATTCCCCATTTGTTGTTTCCACCTTATTTATTCTTGAATCCTGAATCCAAGGACCAGTTGATTGATTCTTTGATACTCCAAAACTACTTTGACTTTCATTGCGATATGCGACCGGTTCATATCTGTCACTGTGTTCTGCTTCATTGGTCAACGACCTTCGAAGATTTGGACTCTTGTAGCTTCCAGGATCATTATTCTTCATTAGCGAATGCCCCTGTGTTAAGCTATTAAGTCCTTGCTTAATAGAAGCGCTTCCAATACCAACAACCTCACTGATAAAAGATTTCTTATCTTCTGTTGGCGGTTCATAGTTTGTATTCCCAAACCCTTGTATCCGCCGGTTTAGATCTTCAGAAGGTGCTGGCTTATTATTGTCTTCTGAAAATATGGCAGATATAGCCTCATGAGCAGTGTCTCTCACAGCCTTATTTAGTGCATCACCTTTCAAAGGATCCAACTGTCCCTTGTAGTGAAACAATTGACGAACTGCCACTGAATGTCTCTGCATTTCCCTTCTGAACTCAACACCAGACTTCGCAACAGCATACTTTATCAATCTTAAAGCCTGCCAACATAAACAGAAATATATATAAAGCACAGCTTAAAGAGTAAAGACAAATAATTAATGAACTTGTAATGCAATTTCCAAGCTCTGACCTCAAAATCATTATGATCATTTCTCATATGGACAAAACTTGGATATAGTTCATTAGGTACTTCGATGGTGTTCTTCTATTAGAATTAAAATTTCAACTCGGTAATATATATAGACATGTAATACAAACCTTTGTTAGGCCAATTGTCGAGACAACACTCCGATTCTGATTAGAAATCAACACCGAGGGTACCTAAAACTGTATCCAAGTTTCTATCCTTTTCATATCCCAACTACAACTTTCCGCTGTATAATTACAAAGCTAAATCCAAGTTTCCAACTACTTCAAATTCACTATCTCTTTCATGCCCTATGCTAACACTAACAGCTATTTCTAAAAATTCCCCACACCCCATTAAAAAAAAAAAAATTTGTAGTACCCAGATCCAACTCATCCAACCTCAAGCAGGAAACATTAACCAAAAACAAATGAGCTTTTATGTACCTTCTGTTTCACAATTGGGCTTTTATGCTCCAAACGTTTTAAGACAAACTCCGAAACCTCCTTCACAATACTAACATGCGAAGTGCGCAAAAGTTCGCAGATTTCCTCCAATTTGTAAACGGGCGTGATTTTATCTTCGTCGGACGTAGCTGAATCGATCAACCGCGACCTCCAGTACGATTCCACCGCTCTTGATC